CCGGGTAATTAGATAGAAAGAAAGACAAAGAAAGAACTGTCCAAAACATRAAGATGCATCATTATTGTACATAATGTATGTATTTATGATTTTATTTATGGATCACTTCATACTGATTTGGTTCAGGCTGGAAACCTGCAGTGTCCTGGAGCAGACTGGGTCAAATCAGCAGGCAATTTTCTTTCATGCTCTTTTTCCAAACATAGGTGAATATTAAATTAAGGAAGAATGCTGGCTGCACAAAATATATGTGTGACAAAACCACATATATATGTAAGCACAATCAAAGAAAATTCCTGCAATTGTAAGGTTTTGGTAGATGTTTCAAATGTAGCAGTTGGCAAGTAAGTTTTAACCTTATCTTGTTTATGTGAATAAAAAATATTCTCCCAAATAAAAAAGCAGCAAAACCACTTTGTTTGCGTTAGTTGTGGTCATTACTCTTTAGAATTAACMTTCAGTATTTGTGGCTTAAGTACTAAAGCTTGTTGGTTTTGATGCAGGGTGCAGCTGCATTGATGCTAACTTGCTGTTGGTTTGGATGCGGMCCCTTCCTTCCCTGCTGTACACCTAACATAGCTCCTCTGCTTCATTTCCTGTAGTTTTCTTGGAGTTACTGCAGTCAGCAAGAAAAAATACATACAAAAATCTGAGAGCACCCGTAGGTTGGCAGCCGTGGAGCACTGCAGTGAGAGCGGAGAGCTCTTTGTCGTGTCTGGAGTGGAGATGGGATGAAATGGTAGGTGACAGGGAACAGGTGTTGTAAGGAGGAGTTTTAGCAGTATTCAGGCAGGGATTTGGGATGCCCATCGTGCTGGTACCATCCAAAACCCTGTGCAGATAAAGCAGAGGATGCTTTTCTGCCAGCTCAGCTGGTGCATTTAAAGCTGGAGGAACAGGCTGCATATACCATGCCAGAGGATTGACTCGGGGATTTCTGTGCTCTTCATAACATAGGTTACTATTGCAGTGACTTCTGGTGACATCTTTATATGCTTTTCTCTGCACTTGGCTTCACTTTTCACTTCTCCTTTTAATAACTTGAAAAATATTTTTGTAGTCTTCTAATGTCCAAGTGACATCTTTCCAAGTTTGTATGATATATTTGAGACCTGGAGAGATTCAAAGGAAAAGATTCAAAAACTTGATCTTTCCTGCATATAAATGCAGGCAGGTAGATGAATGTGAACAGCTGAGCATTGTGGCCACCACTGTGTGAAGGTTTAAGCTTAGAGAAGTGCAGCCCAACCCCTGTACAGAGCTTTGAGTTGATCAGAGATGATTGGAAAGACCGTCTGCAAACCAAAAATATAAAGTGTTTTTTTTTTTTTTTTTAAGCAGCTTTGGTTAGGAACAATCAGTGGCAATTATTTGTTTAAAGAAAGATTTCAGTTTTGAGTTTTTTAAAGGCAAGTAACATTTTAAATTATGAAAGATTTTTTTGATAAAAATGTGTGCATTTCTGTTAACTGGTAGGCTGAATAAATGGGGGGGTTGTTTGTTTTTTTAAACCTTATCAAAAGTTTAAAAACCTTACAGCATTAAAAATCATTTCCAGTCAATGCAATTCTTGGTGGCTTTCTGACTGCTCGTACTCAGTTGTATGTATGTTAAGTCCTTTTTGCTAGCATCCTATATACATGGGAAGCTGTGCAGCTCACCTACACAGATCTTGTTACTGTTCTGATTAATGGTATTTTTATTCTAAGGTTAATTATTTATGAGTGTGCTTCCAMATGGATGTTGGGAACAGATGAAAGCTGTCTGGAATTGATCTTGGCTTCTCGAAGAGTTTGGGTGCCTCGAGGAGCTTGAAGACTTTATCAGCCTGGSCACATGGCTTGCATTAGGAGCAGGCACAGGATAGGCACAAAGAAATACTGAGGGGAAAAGAGCGTAATTGGGCTATTAGTTTCTTCTAAAGTGAAAGATGAATATGCTGCTTCTGTGCTCCTTTCAGGTTAAATAAACAAAATTTATTGAGGAATCACTCCATGTGTCAGTTCTTACTGTTCATAGAAAAATGGTAGCACAGGTGTTCTCTTGCAGGTGCGGGACCTCTGAAAACAGTAAGAGGAGTCTGGAATTAAATTCTGGTAAAAATGATGTTTGTTTGTGATGTCCTCTAAAAGCTTCGTAGCCTTTCTCAGCATCCTTCCCTCTTCTCTTCTTTCTCAGCATCCTTCCCTCCTCTCTCTCAGCATCCTTCCCTCCTCTCTCTCAGCATCCTTCCCTCCTCTCTTCTTTCTCAGCATCCTTCCCTCCTCTCTTTCCTTCCCTTCTGTCCTGTATTACACTCTCCCAAAACAGGTGACTTTTACAGTGCTTGCCATGTCAATTCACCCCAACTAGTGAATCCTACCAGCTCTCTGGAGGAGGCTGCCTTCACCAAAAACAAAACAAAGGAAAAGGCAGCACCTCCTGTTGGGAGCCGTTCTGTGGAAGGAAACGCAGGTGTCAGGGAGCCGGTGTTCACGTTGGATGCATCCGAGTGTCGGTTCAGCTGCTCCCTGGGGTCCCGCGGCGCCGGGCGCGCAATCCGAGCACTCCAAGGTCTGGATCCACCTGCAGCTGGATCCCAGCACGGCAGGCAGGCGCATGGAGCTGGCAGCGTGGTGCAAGTGCACCCTGCGAGCTCCTGCAGCACAGAAAACGCAGCACGCTGTTGGCTTTTAGCGTGAGCCTCTTGGGGCCTTCATTTAGCAGAGCTCTGAACTTAGCCCTGTTGCTGCAGGGCATCAGTGGGCACGTGCCCGGGCACGGCTGGACCAGCGCCTTGGTAGAGGGACTTGCTGAAGACAAGAGAAGGGGTTCGCTCTACCTGGTGACCGCGGCTCGCCAGTGGGTGCAGAGTGGAGAACCGTTTCCAGGCTGTCATGAAAACCAGCACTTCGGTGCTGCTAACTCTATGCCAGTGTTGTTGGCAATGAGCTCGGGGGAGGAGAGGCTGCGTTACCCGGAGGAAGGTTTAGGAGGGACAGATTTTGAGGTGGTACATGGTTTTTGACTGAATCACAACCCCAAACTATTTCAAAACTATTAAAAGCAACGATTCAGGGCTTTATAATTTAGATTACACAAATGACTCTTACTTCTTGTTTTTCTCAAAAACACAATATAAACAGAACGTCTGAAGAAACGAGACAGTTATGAAAGCATTTTGATGGGATTGTGTGCTCCCATGGCATAGAGATCCTTGCCCTGTTGTAGGACAAGGACTCTGACACAGACCGTTTTACAGTGCTGTGTTGTGTAAATACAAAAACTGTGTAGATACAGTAACTATACTGCGAGAGGGCACGCTTCGTATCCCAAACACCTCTGATGAGCAGTTCCCATCCCAGTGTGGGCATAAAGATCTCGCCCCTCAAGTTGGTCTGGTGTTGTTCACTAGCTCGTATCATGCATAGCGTGAGAAAGATTGGTGTATACATATAAATGAGTTTGACTTTCATATTGAAATGTTAATGTGTTCGAACGCAGTAATAGGTTCTGTTTTAGCTGTTTATATCTTTCCATGAAGTGTATATTAATGCTTTCTGGTTCTAACACATCGAGATTTGTTTCCATAAACACTTCCTCCTTGAAAGTCTTCACACTACATGAAAATGACTTTTGGACGGTTATTTTATTTGGCTGATCTTGTCAAACCRATGGAGAATTTACTAATATTTTTGGTGGGGTCACATGATTTGGTTTGGCTGTCGCTGTAGGTGACGGGGTTTGCCTTCCCTTTCCCTGCCCATGGCTGTTAAATAGCCATGCAGTAACGTTCTGGAGGCTCCTGAAACGGGCTTTAGCAGTCGGGAAAAGGTGCAGGAAAGGACTAGAAGTGCTCTGTATTTTTGCTTGCTGACTTGGGGCTGCGGTACCTTCCCACAGCTATGGGCTCTGCCTCATGACAACTCCTCTGTAGCTGTGTTTTAAGAGCTGTGTTTTAAGTGAGTCCATGCACAGGACGTGTATCCTCCTGCCCGAGCCTGGATGGTCCCAAGACCTTAGGAAGGGGGAGATGTCCAGAAACGAGACTGGGCAGCGTCAGCACGAGGGGAGCCTTTTACCTGAGCGTGAGCGGCCGCTCTGCCGTTGTGCTGTGTGGTCTTTCCCTTGCCTTGCTGTATCCCGGGGATCCCCTCCCTGGGAGGCGCAAGGTTCCAGCCTGGGAGATGAGAAGTTCTTCCCTCCTGCTCCTCGAGACACAACGTTCAACCGGGGCAGCTTGTGTTAGAGGAAGTCCTTACTGCCTCTCATTACCCATGTGCCAGGTATTACGTTGCATTAATGCAAACTGAAGCTGCAACGCTGGGAAAGGGGAGGCTGAGGTTAAGTTATTCTTTCCTGGAGTCACAGTGTGCGGGAGCCGGAGCATCTCTGGGACATCCTGCCTTCGGCAGAGCTGCAGCTCTGCCTGCTTGCAGCTCTGCAGCAGGCAAAGTGCAGGTTACCTGTGTGCACCGGCTCCAGGAGGATGGGGCTGGGACTAAATCCGCTGGAATGCAAGGGAAGGTTCTTCAGATGAGCAAAGAGCCTCTCCAAAAATAAGGACATAAAGTCCCTCRGTGTCACAGCAGAGTGACACAAACTCTTTAAGTAGGTGGTTTCATATGCTGAAGCTAGCACTCCTTGGTTCTTGCCTCAAATAAGTAACCCTCAAATTTGACTTATTGCGTCAGGTTTAAATACTGAATTTATTGTATGAAATACTGCAGATATTGCTTAATGTATGGTGGGATGTACTAAAGCTATTTATGGACATCTGATTGGCCTAAACATTAGAAGAAATCTTAGTGCTGGTTCAAAGATCTGCTGCTGATCCTCCAAATGAGAAYTGAGAACAGTACAATTAATGTCTCCATTTGCCACAAAGCTTGGACTCTGGCTTTCAGTTCTACCGAAGTACTCTGTGTAACACCAAATATAAGTATTCATTACTTAAATTTTATATTTAGGATGCTTTTTTTTTTAATGTACCTCAATGAGATGGTTTCTTCACTTTGCAGAAACGACGACGGCGGATTGACCGAAGCATGATCGGAGAGCCAACAAACTTTGTCCACACGGCCCACGTGGGATCAGGAGACCTGTTCAGCGGGATGAACTCGGTAAGTGAGGGCAGGTGGTGAGTGTTTCATCATGGCAGGACCCAGGCATGTTTTGTATTAAGGCTGTGCCTGGAGTAACTRGTTGAAAGAGTGATTCTCCACTGAGCTTATAACATTTCTAATACACTTAAGAACAACTTGCCAGTGTCTTAAGTTCTTAAGTCCATAAGTAACCATAACCATTTGCATTCAAGATAAAAAAAAAAAAACTCTTGTGTTTATTGACAGTTTGTAGTATTTGCTATATAAGTTGTGTATGCTATTAGTAGAGTATGGTAAAAAAAATCGCACACTATTTATGAAGCAAAACAGTGTTTTTCAAAATATATTATTTTAAAATGGCACATCTCTTTAAAGTATCCTCTAATTTTTTTAGTGTAGTTGATTTAAAATTTTCTACCGTTTCCTAGTTCATGCAGATATTTTTGCTTGTCCTTGTTGAGGTTTTCCTTGCCCTGTTGGCCCTACTTGAGATGTGAGTTATTCCCAGAGCAGGCATTCCCAATGTCTCGGGCAGGGCTTTGCAGCTTCCCATAGGTGATACAAGCTGTGGATGCTTTTATATCTTTGAAGTGAAAAACAGCAGCTAAGGGAGCCTATGAGCAGACACTGCTTTKCTGCCACTTAGAATTTTCTGTGAAATGTCAATCTGTCCTCAAGGTCTGGTTTGCCTTATAATTATGTGATTTAAGAAGAGGGTAGTGTATAAGTAGTGAGGAAAAATGCTACTTGATCTTAGTGATCCCCTTTAATGGAAAAGCAGTGGTTTGGAGATGGTAAGTTTTGRTAAAAGGAAAGATGGATTTCTGTCGAGGCCAAGCAGAACTGCAAAGAAAAAGCCTGTCATGCAGTAGGCAAGTGAAGTCACTTATAGCTTCCTAGAAGCTAATTCAATTTTATGGCTTACTGAGATTAGGAAAAACTTTCATAGTAACTCAGTAGCTACGGGGAAAAGACAAGGCCTTGTAAATTTAATATAACAACCAAAAGACTTTTTCTTTTTCCTCTAAAGTGACATGATGGAAGTTGCCTGTACTAAAGCATCTGTAAGCAAGTTACAGTAGGCAAACACAGATTCGGCTTGTTAAAATCCAGTTAAAGCTCATTATCTATTAATGCCGCATTGCATCAGTATTTAAAGCAAGGTATACAATGATGCGAGCAGGCAGTGGTCTCCAGCAGAGTTAGCAAATGTGTGTTTTTCGGCGTGGGCTTTGGCCGTTTGCTGCCCTCTCGAGAGCCGTGCTGCCAACTAACTGTCCGTGCCCCACGGCCGCGCGGGAGCCATGGGGCACGCGGCGCTACATCCCGCCCCACGGCTCCTGCCCGCCTCGGCTTTGCTCCTCGCTTCCAATGCTCACATCCGACCACATCGGGCTCRCTTTCTCCATCTTCTTTTCTCTTTTGTATCTCTTTTTTTCTCTTTTTTTTCTTCTTTTCTTTTTTTCTTTTCCATGGTAACATGCTGGATCAATGGCCAGGATGATTTTTCTGACTTCATATCAGGATAATTATTATGAAAAATGTCTCCCTTTTCAGAAGCATAAATCCTTTTCCAGGTGTTCACCTTCCTTGGTGGCTCACTGCGGGAATACTTCATCCTGCCTCCYTGTTGATCCTTTAGAGTGTAATATCCCAGATCAGTGTAGTCTCCATGTGATCTTCCTCTGCTTAACTTCCTTTATARTATGGACATGCACCATTTTGTCAATCTCTTTGTGCCTCCTGTGTTCTGAACACCTTGGGCAAAACATCTGGAATTTTGTTAGCTATTCTGTCCCTATAAATGGGGTTCTTGTGCACTCAGTGTCTGCTCTGTGTCTCTTCATCAGCGTTATTCTTCATGCGTCCTCCTACTCTTATTTGCTGGAGTTTCCAGACTGCCGAAACGTTGTGCTTTTTGTTGGCATTCATTCTCCACAGAGACGCTTGCTTCTTTGTTGAAGGTAGAATTAACAGCAGGAGCCCCTGTGTGCAGGTCCCTCCTCCTTCCCAGCACCTGCCTCCTTTCCTACCTTTATATTCCCTGCTGAAGTGTCTCGCTTTATAWTCCTGCTTCCTACACCACAGTGTCTCCTTCAGTTTCACGTGTTGCAGCCTTTGGTTTCCTCTTGTTGCCTCTCTCAACGACCATCTGTGCCATTTTCTAATCCTAACCGGGAGGAGAAAAATGGGAAAGAAGGGAATTAATGAGATGGCTCCCCGGCCCAACAGATCGTATGATCTTTAATTGGTGCAGCCCTTCTCCCCATCCAAGATCGCTGCATCCGTAGAGTATCTAAATTAGATGCCACGCGGGGAGGAGAGCAGACGTTGTGCATCATTATGTATCATGAGAYGGCAGCACTGCCTTGGAAGCGCAAGAAATTGTACGACTTTGTGCYTCCAGCTGAGGATATCTCCAAAGGAGGAAGCCGTGGGGGTGCCACCTGGTCAGCATGACAGTGACCCCTGCTTGTGTCTCCAGCCTCCGTCCTCTCCAGCAGCTTGTCCTGTATGAGATGGACACTGGGATGAAAAGAGCTGGAGGCTGGAGGCTTCGTTCTGCTTTGGGAGCCGCAGCCTCCGACTGGGAGGCTGCCGGATGCCCCTCGGAGGAGGCCGGGCCTGCCCCACACCGCCGGGCCCGCCCCACACCGCCGCCCCCACGGCTCTGCGGGCACCGCGACCCACACCGCCCAGCAGGCGGGTGGGTCACCCCCAACGGCCGCCGCCCGGGGTCGGGGTCGGGGTCGGGCAGGAGGCGCTGCCGCGAGCAGCGCTGTGGGGCGGCAGCGATGGAGGCCGCTGCGCGAGTGGGCTGGAGCGAGGCCTTCCCCTTCCCCGCTYTGGCCCTGGAGCCCTGGAGCGGGCCGGCGGAGCAGCTCTCCCAGCAGCGGGATTCCCGCAGCGCCCTGCGGTGCCGCCGGCGGGGCTGCTCGTCGCCCCACGGCCGGAGGGCTTCTCCTTGTGCTGTGCGCGGCGGGAAGCGGCCCGTGGCCTTTGCCCAGCACTGCCCTGTGCTGCCAAAGTGACCGCCCTCAAACAGGGCTGCGTCCGCCCGGTGTGAGGCTGCGCGGGCACAGCGGAGCRGTGCTGAGGCAGGGATGCAGGCTGCTTCCCTGGGCTGGGATGCTCGGAAGAGTGCCGAGGGTTTTGACTTTGCATACGGGGGAAAATACCATGCCAGACACTCAGACACRAACTGCACCGCTGTTTTAATGTAGCTTTGGGGGGCATATTTTGAGGAGTCTATGAAAGAGCACGCTGGAAAATATTTTGAGCAAGGCCCTGCAGACATTGGTTTCTTGCTGCAGGTGCCGTTTCAGCAGCTGTAACTTAAAAACAGGGGTTACTTSGTGCTCATTGCGTGCGTACTGTGTATGCTCTTGGGTGAAAACAGAAAGAGAAAACCCAAATCTTCCACACCAGAGCCGCCTTCCTGCAGGCGCTGGGTGAGGACTATTTTGATTCACGCAGCACAAGCACAAAAGAAAACCCTCTGTCCTCTTCCYTTTTACTGAAATGAAAGCAATGGGAGCCGGAGCGGTGTGGGTGGTGGCAGGGGGCTGCTCTTTGTACCGTGTTTCCATCAGCCTAAAAATAACTTCAAATAAATGATTTCCAGAGAGGTTGATAGTTTGAGCATGGTTTAAAAAATAAATCTGCTGATGAAAGGAGCAGTATCAATTAAGGAAAAAGGTTTATTCTACTGAAAAGTAGACAAACGAACAGCCTCCAAGTGAGCTTCCCCATGCGAGAGGCAACTTTCTGGTGCTGCAGAAAGCTTTTGCTTTATGTGTCCCCTTACAAACTAGCCCTACAGTGCAGACACTATCCAGGTGCTTCCGATGGGGTCTGTTTTGTTCTTCACTTAGAGGTGATGTTAGCTTCACTGCTGAATGGTTCTTAGCAAGGGCAGTTCCCATGTAGCCAGGTAAATTGTGGCTTGTCAGATGGAGCGGGAGGCCGGCAGGAGACCTGGTTAATTCCCTTAAGCAACAGAGTGGCCCAGGGAACGCCTGAGCCAGGCGATTTTCCTGGGAGAGCTCTGCAGCGGAGCAGCGCCGCGCTGCCCTCGGCCGGAGCGGCTGGGACCGAGGCGGGAGGTCTCCCTCCTTGTGTCTCCGCAGGTGAGCTCCATCCAGAGCCAAATGCAGTCCAAGGGCGGCTACGGCGGCGGCATGTCTGCGGGCGTGCAGATGCAGCTGGTGGACACGAAGGCRGGATAGCCCCGGGGCACCTTCCCGGTAAGTGCGGGGCCCGCGCGCCCCCGGCTGCTCGGCAAGGTGAGACCCTGCGAACGGCCGCGCTCGCTGCTGGGCCCTGCTCAGGAAAGCGCTTGCAGGGAGAAGCGCCGGCGTCCAAGCGCAGCTTAACAATGTGTTTTCTGCGTTGCAGGTTCCTGTGAGTTCCTGTGTCTTCTTCCCTGTGTCCCCTCCTTTGCCTTGGTGACTGCTTTCTGTGCTCATGCCGAGAGAGAAGTGATGGCTCGTTGTTCGCCCCTCGTGATTACTCCAGTGAAATGTGGCTGTTCTGCTCTGGTGATGCCATTTCTCAGATTGGTCCTTCCGTGCCTTTCAGTGGCATGCATACATTGGCCTCTACCAGCACTATTGAGATAGAGCTGTTTAGGATTTATGATTCTTTTTAGCTTTTTTTTTTTTTTAATTTTCGATTTAAAGCAAGTTAAAGCATCAACTGTAGCTTCCCTCACCCCTCTCACAAATACTAATGCATAGCATTCAGTTGCTCATTATCCTTTAAATCTCTTCCTCTGCCCAAGTAACTTAGAATCGAGTGAGTTTCCATTAAAGTTTTTAATCTTGCACCGTTCATACGCATTTTTGAAAGGTCCGGGACCTGCAAGCACAAATGATGTTTCCCACAAAATCAGCAGAGTAGATGACCGCATGCCTTGTGAAGTTGCTTTGTATGGTGGCCCCTTCGGAGCCAGATAGAAATAAATTGCTTGCTGCGGACTGATGATACTGTTGCTGGTGAAAAGTTTAGCTGTGGCACCACGTCATGCCTGTCTCTGAAAGAGGACGTGTAACTTAGCTGCTTCAGAGTTATGTCTTTATTTTTAGTTTTTATCCAACTGGTCTTGAAATAATAAAGAGAGAGCTTGCATTCTTAAGGCAATTGTTGTAAATGTTCGATATATTTATTTTGAAAGAGCTGACCTCGAGACTGTAAAACCAGTATAGTACCGTATCTAAGTGTTGTGGAAGCGCTTTAGTCTATTTAAAAAGAAAAAAAAAAGAAAGAAAAGCATCATGTTTGGCTGCTTCTTTTTCCTTTTACAGTTTTTTTTCTCAGTTTAGGCTGTACGGTCATTCCCAATAGCAGCATGTCAAACTGCCTGCGATATTAGCTGAAGTTTAGTAGCCCTCTCCGAGTAGTTGGCAGTTTCTGTGTATTGAATATTTCGGGGCCATGGAAGTTGCTAAGAGCAACAAACTAATCTGGCAGAGCAAATGCCAGCGAAAACAACAAACAGGGTGACTTTTTACCAAGTCGGTAAAAAGCCTTTTGCTCAGGTTCCAAAGCATGTTTCTCTTTCACATGTTGTGAAAATTGTATTTTAATATTGCACTGTTTTCAGATGATCTCTGTAAATGGTCCTTTTATTTTCCTTTTTTTTTTTTCCCTCCTCTTCCTTCCTGGTGGTTTGAAACAAGCCAATGATTTGAATCTTGATTGAATTTTAATGTTGGGGATTAAAAAGGTCTTCCTAGCAGATGCCTAGGATGATCTTAACTGATCTTAATCAGTTTCGTTTCTATACATGCACACATGTTCATAAATATGCATTGATGTCGTAAATGTCTCTTTCTTCTCTAATTGCAACAGATAGCCAATTTTTTTTTTCATTTTCCATAGAACACGTGCAAACCCACATATTCCTGTTGCCCAGATGACAAGCAGGGGGCAGAACGCAGTGGTCATGGGGCTGCTGCCCTTGCCTGCTGCGGTGGCCAGTGCCACGAGATGGGGATGCTCTGTTGCTTGTTGTGCACAAACGCAGCAGGATGCCCTGCTGCTTGTTGTGCACAAACACAACAGGATGCTCCACTGCTTGTTGTACACAAACACATGGCAACACAGCGGTTCGTTTCAGGTTTTTTAAGGGGTCAGCATTTCCAGTGCCACTTCATCAGTGAGTCTTAAATCTGCTCTGATCACGAAATGATTTTAACTTTGTCATCGGTAACTGCGGCTGAAATTTGCTCGCTGGAACTATCTTGCCTTTGTCAAAATGTCTTCAGCTCAGTAGCCAGAAAAGAAAATTTGACATATTTTTATAACAGACATACTTTTTTTGTACATTGTGTTCATTCTTGAATAAAGTCAGTTCAGTGTTGGCTTGTAGATATTAAAAGGAAAGTATTGACTTTGATTCAATAAATGTTTTCTTTCAGTTGGTGGCTTCCCTTTTTTTTTTCATAAATTACTTCTGCAGTGGAAGAACTTTTGCATCTTACAAACAAAGTGGCGGGGAGAATTCTTGGAAAAGTAACCTGTTTGCTTGAGAAGAAAAAGTAATTTGCAGGCTTGAGTTTTTTCATGCCACTTGACCATCCTGTTGCCAAGTGGATTATACCTTAACTTCGTAAGCAGTTTTGTTTCTCTGATTTGGTGTGTTTACCAGAAGCCTCTACAGCTCATCTCAGAGAGAAGGTTTCTTAAAATAAAATGAGTCTGAAACCTCTCCTGCATGTTTTCTACCTTACGGGGTTTCTTCTGGCTTGCTGTTGATGGTGATGCAGATAATTTTATTGAGGTGGTCTGTAGAAGACCATAATTAAATGAAATTATCCTATTAAATAACCATATCACAGTAAAATTAAATACCGTATCACAATAAAGCATACATCTGCATTAAATCTATCTAGTTACAAGGCACAGTGTCATCTACTCTGCGTTTTGCTAAATTCATTACTTTTTATGTTTCACTCCCCCAAAGTTAATTCTTCAAGAACCAATTTATTACTTTAAACTCATGCTCCATTTTTTAAAGAATGGTGCTGAAATATCTGCTGTGCAATAAGGTGCTAAATTCACCAGTTACGGAAAATAAAGGCTATTTTTAAAAGAAAGAAAGATCAAGAGAAGAACTATGAGATAAGGATCAGCTGCAGAAGTTTTGTTCGTAGTTGAGGTTATCAGACTGGGGACCCTAGTGAAAGAGTAAATTGAGCCTGAGTGACCAGAGCCAGAACCGTAGGATTGTCACTACTGAAGTAAAGGCAGCTCTCGTTTCCGCATGTTCTCACAAGTCCAAGAAGGGAAAATCCAAGAGAGATTCCTGCACCCACAATCAGGGGCTCACTGAAATGTTTAAGATGCCTAGAAAAGGGGGTAGTTTAACCGTTTGTTAAAATGATGCTTCGCCTGCTCAAGGGAGCCATCCTGCTCCTTCTTAGTCTTTAGCTTGTTCAGCTGCCTCCAGCGATAGCCGGAGTCAGTTCATTCCTGTGGCATCCTGCTGAAATGAGAGGATGTTGAATTGACACACGGATCTCTGGAAAGGCTTGGTGCCAGCAGCCTGCATCCCAACACTGTGACCCTCCTTCATTAGGGGGAGCGGGGTCTAACTCCTTAAGTTCTAGTACTTTATGTGTATGGATTTGAATAAAGCTCCCTCCTAATTAATGGCAGTAGTGCATTTTGTGTTTGGTTGTGGTGTTTTTTCAACCTCAGGATCATTCTGTATCTGTTGGTCTCTTACTGTGATTCCAGTTCCTCATGTTCCTTGAAGAGGAGCTCTGCTGCACAAGCTGCTCACAAGTTTTCCTAAACCTTATATTCCGGACAAAATATATATATGTACACACAACACACACACAGCCCATTCTAAAACTAGGGAGTAGCAGCTCCCATTCACCAAAGAAAGATTAGGTTTTTATTTTTGTGTGAACAATTCCATGGATAAAGTGGGACAAGGACTAAGGCTCAAGTAGCGCACATGCCCACAGAAAAGCAAGTGTGGCCCTGGATTTGGGAGTGCCAGCTCATAGCTGCAGTATTGCATCTGTTTGATATTCAACAATAAAAACTCCCACTTCTCATTCCATCTCCCTTTTTCTGTCATCATGGCTCACCACAGGAAACCATGCACCACAGAAAACCATGCACATTTATTATTTAGCATTTTATTATTCCTCAGAAACTGCTTTTAAGGTGAAAGAATGATGAAATCTGATCTAGATTGCAGTTTTTATGACATAGTGCAATATCCCTGAGCACAGCTACATCAGGACATGAAACACTCTCAGAATGAAGACTTTAAAGGCTCTACATTTGGAGTAAGAGCCTTTTTGTTAGCTCTGTGAAAACATATTGGTTGCAGCTATAGACCAGAATACAGCTACTGTATATTACTTAAGGCTGCGTAAGGGCAGCTGTAAGAGCTAAAGCTGAGGCTCAGCACAGCAGTACCTTCTTTATGAAGAAGTGGTGGATTTCACTGGCCTGTCTGAGCCCGAGACCACCTGGTTCAGAAGGTGAGAGGTCCCGAGCATGGTTGGATGGTGGCTGAATCAGGGAGTAGGACTTCCCAGAATAAGGCTTACTGGAAATTTGTATTTAGAGGTTTGTGCACTGAAGTATCCCAAGCAAAATTTTGGAGGGTTCTTTAAGCAATTTGTGTTAGGCAATGAAGTGGAGCCTCTATGCAGACACAATAAAGCATCCCAAACTTGYAGGCACTGCACTCTCTCTCAGTGGAAGCCAAATTTCTTGAAGCATTGCTATGGACATACATCTGTGGCTGCATTTGTTGGAAACCCAGCAAAGACATCACCCACAAAAAAGTGGTGCAATCTCCTTGCTCTTGACAGATGTCATACGTGTTATGGGATATATTAGAGCAGCGTCTTGCTGAGTATATTAAAAAAAAAGTTGAAAARAAAAATGTGGCCTGTGGTGTCGTACTGTTTGAGAAGAAAACCTGTTGCCTTTCACGGTATTTGCTTCTTCATCATTTGCATGATGCAAAGTGCTCAGCAGCTGCACACATGGGCACCAGACATTATTAAATCAGCTGTACAGATGCTCGGAAGCATTATTTAAAGATGTGCTCTATTCAGTAAATAGTTTGATGAATGCTTAATTGTGTTTAGCATCCTTAATTACCATGTGCAAGCCTAATGTAGTCCTGGGTGCAGATCTGCATACAGTGACAAGGACRTTAAAACATGTTGGCTGTGATGCCCTGGCTCTGACGGTGGACAGTAGAAGCACTTCAAAGGGTTTAAGCCAACAGTGATTAAGTGAGGTTGCTCCCACCTACTTATTCCCAAGTTTTGTGCCAGCTCTGTTCCTGATTTGGCTGCACAGCTGAACGGCTTGTGAATTAATCTATGTTAAAGGAAGTTTTTGGCCAAATCATTTCAGTTCAGACCAGAATCCATCACAGCCCTGTGATGCTCTCGATGCTCTTAATTTCACCCAACACTGCTAAGCGAGACGCCACTTTCCACCTTCAGGCACACAGAGAAATTGCAAATTCAGACTTCAAGACAGGTTCCCGAAGGAGCCCAGGGGGTTGGAGTGTGGGCAGAGCTGGCATTAAGTGGCTGAACACCAAACCCCATTGCTTCAGTGAGGTGCAAAAACCTACAACCACGTCACGAATGACTGAGCCAGCGTGCAAAGGGCGAAGTYTAGCTGTCCTAACACAGCTAGGACGCAATTTGAGCGTTTTGTAGGGAATTTGTGAGGCAGCGTTGAGTAGTCTGTGCCCAATTAATTTTTTCCCCATATCCACTACTCTATTTTTTGGTAGTAAGATATTGAGAGAGGCCATTAGCAGAAAATAAAAGTAGGCTGTTATGCTTGGCATGCTAGTTCTTTTAAGTGAAGTGGATGCTTTACCTTTGGGACTTGGCTTTAGCAGAAGACGCCCTTTGCAAGGCCCACAGTGCCCACAGCAGTGCTGGGGGTCTGATGGGTCCTACCACTGTCAGCTGGCGCAGGCTYTTTCATCAAGAACAAACAGAAGTAACAGCCTACAAAGCTTTTATCAGAGTGAAAGGGACTAAAAGGGGAGAAGGTATTTCAGTGTGAAACAGATTGCTACCCCACTGCACAGATACACCTTGTTTTCCTCAAAGCACTAAACAATAAATAGGTTTCATGT